GATTACCTCGGAAACAGCGTCACCACGAATGTTCCAGTAAATCCAATCGACAGCTCGTAAAGCAGAATCCGTCGTCATTTGCTGTTGGAACCGACCTTCGAATCTCTTTACTTTACACCTTCACTCGAAATTAAAATAAGATCAAAAATTATGAAACAAGAGATTCCTCTAAACCCAACTTTTCTCCACATATTTGAAAGTAGTTAATGCAAATGCCAGACACAATTTAGTCTAATATAAAAAATAAAGAAACTAATATTTATCAAAATTAATCGCAAATATGTATTAGAATAGCTTGCTCTGGTGAGGTAAGTCCTAGAAAGTAGGCTAGTTAAAATCCAATGCTAAAGATTCATCAACGTATTAAAGTTAAGCTAGCCTTGCCTCTCAAAATGTTCAGCCTGGCAATGAGATCGTAGGTTGTATAGAGCAAACCAAAGAAGTTCTTGGTTATCTGGAGAAAATGCAACATTTTGATGAGTGAGCACTAGTAAAAATAGCAGTAGAATCATAAACTTAAGTTAGTATCAACAATTTACCAAGCGAAGTCGCTTCTAGTTTGGTGTTTCTTATGACGCCTTGATCCTCGCACACTATGCCCTGGATGTCGCCAAGGCCCAGGGAATCGACACCAGGAGCTTGTGTCCTGTACACACCAGGAAGTGGAGGCGGTTGGCCAGAAAGAGAAGGAAAGCAAGTCGGTTGAGTTTGGTAGGCCGGCAGATAGCCGATACCAGGCTCGAAAGTTCGGCTTGCCTGACTATAGATTCCGGCCACAGTATGAGAAAATGACACTCCGGGCCCATTCGATTGGCCAGAGTCGATGGTCGGTCCAACAGCGGTCCCAGAATTCCCAAAGCACCAACGCCGTGAGGCTATTTGAGAGGCCCCTAGAGGTGCGGTGTCTGAGCAGACAGGCCGATAACCGAATTGTCGGCTTTGCTGCATGAATTGTCTATTACGACGACGTTGATAAAGCTCATGAATAAATAGGGCACTAACCGACATGTCGGCGGATAGCATGTCAGCAGAGTTCACACTCAAGCCTACAACAATCAAAGTGAAAGAATGCATGATCATAAAACAAGGGCTTCAAATCACAAATTAAGACTTGAAAAAGCAAATATAAAAAAATTAAATGCGTAATCCTCTTAAATCGTTATAGCTTGAAGGTGAAGTATTTGGCACTTGGGAAGCTATCATTAAGTCTAAGTCATCTAAAGGAAAATTGTGTTGAGAACAAGCTCAATTTGTCTGAGGACATAGGTAAAGGAGGAAAAGTTAGGTTCACAAGAGGTAAAAATTGCGGGCAGATGAATTACCTAAAATTATTAAGAAGAATGAAATGTAAGACTAAAGATATTTGAGAAAATATTCATTAAGTAAATTCAAAAGGTGCCCACCCAATCTTAAGTAGGCTTAAGTAAACTTAGGGTGCCGATAGGGCTAGGGTGGCAAGGGAAATACATCAAAATATTAATAAAAGATAAAGGATAGTTATACCTCGAATATACATAGGAATAAAAGCTGGGTTTCAAAGAATTCATCAATGATTTAGTGATTCGATTTTTTATTCCCAAGAAAATGTTGGCTGGAAGGAATTCATGCATTGTCTCCCCGGAGACCTAAGAAGGATCGCCTTGGAGTGGAAATTGTTGAATTTCGCGAATAAGCCCTTGGCTCACCGTCCTGCGACCTCGATGAACCTGCATCAAGCCTTTGTCTGTTATTTGGCAGATATCATCGGAGCGAGAAACCATAATGTATGAAAAAAGCGCGCCAATATACTCTTGGTTTGGTTTATTATGGCCCTTTTTACTCTAA